ATCTCTCTCAGTGTCTCTATATCTTTCGCACGTTTTGAATCCACTTTGCGAAATAAAAAAGAATAAAAGCTGAAATAGCTTTGTCATGCTTACCAAGCTCCGGCACGGACCGAACAAATCTGGCCGATTTAATGCCATTATGATGGAATTTGATTTATTCCCAATGCGATTATTGCAAAGAGCACACACACACAAATCATAATATTCTTATGGTTTTTTCTTCTTCCATTTGAATTTATATTTGGATTAATTCAAAGCAATTTGATTTCACTTTATTTCCGTTTTTAGCTATTGCATCAACGTACATAACAAATAAATAATGAAATAAATTAAATTAAATTATTTTTCAAGCTTCGACGGCTTTGAATTGATCTTCTTTTTTTTCTGTTGTAGTTTTATTTATGATGTATGGGCATAACTACGGCATTCAGTCGGCTTAGATCGAGACGAGTTTTATCATTGAGACAACATCTTCCTGATATGCCATTGACATCCAAATCCAAATTGGAATCAAGATAGAGCTTCAACAGATCTGGATTACTAACAAAATCCGTCAGATAAATGTTCTTCGGTATTTGCACGTAGTTGAGCCATTTTCCGTGCTCACAGTAGGTCAACAGCGGTGGAGTGTTTTGGCACGGTGAGCTGCATCCGCGACACCGATCATTGTCGTAGACTGGTGGTGGAGCCCAGCCTGGAGGACCCCAACCGCAGTCATTCTGACACCTTTCATTTCCTTTACACCCGTTTCTATATGCATTGAGGTCAATACGGAATGAGATTGAGCATTTGTGTGTGAGAGTTTTATTTTTTATTTTATTTTTTTTGCGATAAATATTGAAATGATCTCAAAAATAGTTTTCTTTCATATTCAAATCAATTTGGAAAGTTAATTTGAATTTTGTTTATTTCCATATTTTGCGTACCTGCATTTCTCAATAACGATGCATTCATTATGGCATTTGTCATTGCCGTTGCAGTCATTGCGGCACGTTTGGCATCTGTCTGATTTACATGGACGCTCTTCGACAATATATTCCGTCTTTGGTGGCCAGCATTTGTCCGATTTACATGGCTGTTGCTCTTCGACAACAACAACCTTTTCGACAACTGAAACTTCTGGTTCTCGTTTTATAAGCGGCAGCGGAGCTTTCTTTAAGCGTCGCAATAGACCTACACAAACAGAGGAAACAAACGATGAAATTAATGAAAAAAAGCGTATTGAAGAGAAACGTCAATCACTTTTTTTATGATTACCCGGATCAGCTGGCGATAGTACCACACAAATTGAAACAATTAGGAAAATAACACCAAATTTAGACATTTTTATTCGAAGAATGATAAATGTGATCGCTTTGTTTCTTCAATGTGAACTGATTTCCATTGCCATAAAACAATCTTTAAATACTTAAAAAAAAAACAGTATAGCTCTGTATGTCTGTCATATCAAAGACTTACATTTAAGCAGAAGACTTATAATTTTGATTAATTGCGAATATTTACCGATTTCGTTTCAATGATTTGAACTCGAAATTGGTGTATTGTCAGTTAATTATAATCAAATGTAAACACCATTTTTTTATTTGACAAATCTAATTTTATGCCAATTGGTGTTTAAATTCCATGGTAACACAATATTTATGCATGTATTCATGTTATTGATGATAATTCGACGAAATTACAGAGGACAGAAACAACACGCGTTTTAAATTGTACAAACAAACAGATTTGTCTTTCATTTTCCAGTCATGGTGCAAATAGAGAAAACGGTTTGACACCATTTTCGTTCTGGCTTACTCTCAATGTCAATTGAACGAATAATTTGGCCATCTTCCGAGAATTTTGTGCACATCATCTGAATCAATAGCGAGCGGCAGGAAAAAGAAATTCACGGCCTACGCTGACGAATTTGACTGATTTTTTAAAATGGCCTTTTTTGAGCGGCGCCAAAACGTGCGCTCTACAAATACATTTATCGACGCTACATTGAAATCAATTCAAAACGTAACAAAACGAAATTATACTGAAGAAGAAAAACTCGGCATTATCTTAATGATATCTTTTAAAAATGCTGCAAATAATTTATGAATTATACAGAGAGAAATGGTAAATTCGTTTTAATACATGTAGGTGCGCGTTGATACCGTGTTGAATTTATTTGAGTGTGTTTTGTATTTTTTGGGTATGTTAATATTATTTTCCCCGTAATAAATTTTCAAAAGAGCTGACGATAAATCAGATAAAATCCCATGTCGCATCTGAACTCTCGCGACAAGAGACCGAGAGAGATGGTGAGAGCAAAGAAGAGAGCCGGTGTGTTGTGCCGGCAATTTCACTTCCATAGTCATAATACAATTTATTGAATTCATGCAAAAAAAAGAGAAAAAAATGGAAAATAAAATCGTATTGACACACTTAACGAACGAACGATTTTCTTTGCCAACTGCGAATTCGAGAAAATATTTTAGCGCCCGTTAACGCACAAGCAAATTGTATTTTAATGAAATTACTTCGATTCTTCTTCCGTTAATTACATTTGCTGGCGTGTACAATATACCAACAACACAAAGTGTGTGTGTCTCTCTCTCTCTCTCTCTCTCTCACTCTGTGTGTGTGTGTGGTACGGTATTTTGTCGAGAATGAATTTGAGCATTACATCCACATTTGTTGTCGTTTGTTGTTGCGCTTCCGTGCGCTAGCGCGCGCACCCAACACAACACAACCAAACCAGGCCCAAATTCAAAATTCAATTAGTAACGACATATTCCAGTTAGTATATTTTACCCATTCCAATCGAATAGCATCTAGGTCTTCCTTAATGTCATACGAATAATGACAACGAAAAAGAAGAAGATGGGAAAAAAAAAACCGAAACACATTGCCTGATTACACCAACAGCACCGAAGCACACCAAAACCATCTAATTCTATTATGATTTTTAAACGATTCAAAATGAAATCCTTCATACTGTTGTTGTGTGCACTACACTCTCGCCTCAATTTTTAGCGTCCATTCATACCGTGTTTCTTACTCTTCATTTGGGTTCTCATCGGTATCTTTTTTCACTTCATTTTCATTCCCTCTCATTTCTCTTCTCACTTTCGAAGTGCACTTCTAATTTTCTGTGTTCAAATTTTTTCTTCTTCTTCTTTTTCTCCTTTCTGCCATCACTCTACACTCTGATTGATTTTTATTTTGTGCTTAATTTATCGTGTCTTTGTCACATAGCATTTCATCGCTTCTTGTTTTCACTATCACTACCATCTTCCACTTTATCATACGCACGCGAACCGCGTACGTGATTTGAATGCGTGAATAAATAATCTGAGAAAGGGAGAGAGAGAGAGAGAGAGAGAGAAGACCCTTTTCGAAGTGTAGCTCGGCTCTGATGACGGTAAACAATACTTTCGCATTTTCGGGAAGAAAACACATGTTATTGGTCATGTATTTTATTTGGGCGGCTGTACAGCTGACTTTAATGCTGAATGCTTTTGTCAATAAGAAATGCTTTTTCCACTTCTTCTTCTTCTTCTTCATGTTTGTGATGTAAGTTCTAATAATTCGATATGATGTTCAGATATATTTCATGCCCAAAATTGCTTGAAAATATCGTGTGATGAAAAATAAACTTTTGCTTTTTTTTCCACCCATCACCACTTTGATACATTCATTCATCGAATTCTGATCTAAAATGCACACGGTCTCACACTCTGACGCAGTAGCAAGGCGACAATTTACGCTTGTTTTTCTATATAATTCACGTGATTTATATTCAAATTTTGTACGTGACCCAAGCCCAAGAGCATGGCAAGAAATGAATTGAATGGTTATTCAATAATAATAAGAAATTTGTGTGTGTGGATGTGTTGAGTACATGGGACACACTAAACACTAAATCATAAACCATAATGGAACGTCGATCTTTGTAACAAGTTAAAATGATGGAAGCGAATGTTTGAATCGTTTCAACCATTTATGGCTGACGGTTGCCTTAATCCCGTACGATGGATACAACGGTAGAAGAAGAAAAACAACGAAACAAAACGAAATGAAATGACGACAAAAAAAAGCTCATTATCCAACAACTGAAAATGAATTATCATTTGCGCACTTATGATTTCGGCGAAATAATCCTCTTCATTCTGTGTTTACATAAGACACACACGGATTCGTAATAACGACGACGATGGTGATGAGACATCGCATAAAAAAGGGCAGAAGAAATATGCTTGTCAATATGTTTCTCTTCCTTTTTTGTACAATATTTATTTATTTTTCCATGATTTTGGTGGTTATTATTATTAGTAGGTATATTGAGAAAGTGAGAGTATTGTTTTCTCTTTCACTTTTTTTTCGTCATCTCGGTCGCATGTGCGTCGTCGTAGCTGACCATTGATTTTTTTTTTTTCTGAAAGTCTCGCTTTGAAAATCAATAGTTTTATTATACAGTAAAAATGTAAATCAATCTATTTACGATATTTCGTCGAGCATTTGAATTTATAATTTTTTGTTTTGAAATTTGTTTGTTTGTTTTTTTTTCTTTTTTTTTCTTTTTTTTTTCTTTGGCCTGTGTGTCTCTCTGTGTTTTCCCATTTTTCTTTCAGATTTTGTTTATTTCACCCAGAAAATAAAATGCAACAAAGATAAAAATGAAAGACTTTTTAGACTTTTGTTTTTGTCACCGTTTAAATATTTTATTTTGTACAACAGACCTAGAGCTACAACGTAATCAACAACATTTTCGTTTTGTTTTTGTTTTGTTTTGCTTTCGAACACTTTGAACATCGGTAAATGTCCATTCAAAGTGCACGAGCTGATCACAAATATCGAATAGATAATTTGATCAATCGTAGTAATCAATGAGCTGGACCATACACAGGTGCTGGTTGATGTGGGGCAGCAATTGGCAACGAAGCTTCGGCTGATCCGGATAAGATTGGAGCTGGAGCAGATTGGAATTGTGGTGCTGGGGCAGATTGGAATTGTGGTGCTGGGGCAGATTGGAATTGTTGTTCCTTTTGTGCTTTGTACTTGATGAAGTAGACTTCTGGTTTGCTTGGCGTAATTGGTGCTGGTTGAATGTTTTGTTCAGCGATTGATTCGGGTTTCTTGACGAGAACGTAGACGAGGGTCTGTACAAATGAGAAGAGGAAAAAATGGCATTAGAATTCATGTTTTGGCGAACGTGACTGGAATAAACCAGGAAATGTGTTTTGTTTAATTTTTCGCTTTACCTTTTCTTCCGATTGTGGGGCCAATTGTTGGTAATGGCTCACGCTTGGAGCTGATGGAGCCTTAATGAAAATGATTTTGTAGTGCTTTTGAGCTTGTTGTGGGGCAATGAATGGTTGAGCGAGTTCTTCTTCTTGTGGAGGTGGTACGTGGACTGCATAGACCAAACCGAACCAATCATGGCGGAAATAAAATCCAAAATTAATACCAAAACATAAATTTAAGTGACAAAATATAATTATTTTTCGGTGTTTTGCGTCCGTTTCGACTTACCGTAGATATGTTTTTGGACAACAGCTTGAGCTTGTGGTTGGGCAAATGATTGGAATGATTGTTGAGGAGCGCTGAATGATGGGGCGCCAGCCGAGAATGATGGGCCAGCGGACAATGATGAACCCGACGAGAATGATGGTCCGGCAGAGAACGATGGACCGGCACCGAATCCACTTGAACCGCCTGAGAATGAACCACCATGTGAGAATGAGCTAGATCCGGAGAACGATGGAGCCGGGGCTACAGAATGAAAAGTACGTAAATATCATTTAATTTTTCTATTCAAACAATGTTATTCAGTTTAGAAAAAAGGGCATTCGATAAATTTTAGGCGCAACCATGTCGCATTTTTGCGAAAGAAACAAAAATGTGTGCCAGAATTCTTCATGCGCGCTTTTATACTATCTGTCACAAAGGGTAAAAGAATGGGAACTTCTTTTTTTTTTTAATGAAATGTCTATTTACCGGCAGCAGGTACGTTTAGTCCGAATGATGGAGCACTGACACCATGGCTGTGTGATCCACCAAAGTTTTGTGGCTGATTGTATGAGTATCCAGCTTCTGGTCTGGCCACTGCCAAAGCGATGCACGACAAAACAACAAACACTTTCATTTTTATTTGATTTGTAATGAACAAACTGGGCTACAAACTGGACTAAATATTCAATAATGCACCGCACACAACACTGAAGAACTCCTTTCGGTGTGATTGATTTGGAAGCAAATGTTGATATGATGATTAGCCACTCAGCACCGAAGTCTTTTATACGATGTAAATTTCCCTCACTCATCAAATCGGCTATTTTTCACGAAAACGATACACACAACTACAAAAGACAATGGCTACTCTCGCGAACTTTTATTTTCTTCTTCTTCTGTTGTTGTCTTTCTTTCTATCTATCTTCGATCCGCGTGCGCGCATCACAATATTCATATTCCGGCTACTAGCGCATATTATTATTGTCTTGTGGCTGTGGCCGACCATTCAAACCGTTAAACCATACAAAAAATTATTGGCCATCGAAGCAACAACAAAAACAAACGACATACGCACACCAAACGGTTCGCAATTCGACAACACAACCAGAGGTTCGGTGTGTGAATAAATTTTCGAGAGATGCGCAAGAAACGAGCACGATGAGATGAAAGAAGCAGCAGAAAAAAAAGCGACAGAGAAAACTACACACATTTGACCATTGACCGAGCACAAAAAAAAAACGAGAAGCATAACAATATTAATAAAAAGCGTCTGCGATAGCATTAAAATTATAGAAAAAAAAACTAGCAGCAAAACATATATGACAATCGAAAAGATGAGAAAAAAAGTCTCATAACAAATAAAATAATTAATACGTTAATGTTCACCTACATTTTCTGACGACCATGGGTACCATATACATATATATGCAATTTAGAAGACGGACGCATCGACAAACCACAGAAATATATTCAACGTGCGTTGAAACGAAAGCGAAATCCATTATTATTATTATAAACAACAACAAAATGTTTTAAATAAATCCATATTTTTTTGGCTAATGATTTCTCTCTCTCTCTCTCTCTCTCTCTTTCTCTCTCTCTCTCTCTCTCTCATTTCATTCTTCTTCAGTTTGTTTTGTGTATTCAAATTTTATGTTTCGCGACATACAAAATGAGACACAAAGAGGGAAAAAAAGCCAATAATCCGTTGGAGAAAAAATGGAAATCGATAGATGCGCCAAACGCTCACTCTCCAGATTAATTCAGATGTGCATAAATTACGGCCACAAAGCCGAGAAAACAATGTTACACAAAAAAAAGCAGAAACAATGTTTGATCCGCGTTGAAAATATGAATTTACAATATTTTATTATGTATGGCACTTTTTGGCCGCGTTGGTCCGTTTCAAATTCATTTGATTGAGGTTATACAGGCATCAATTAGATTTTAATCGATTCGATGAAGACGGAGTGAAAATTCACTTGCTAAGAAAGATTGACTGAACGAGCGTGCGCGGAGGCATACGCGCGCATTTTCTCAACATGATCGCGCACATTTGCATAGCTATCGCTCGTAATATAATAGTTTGCAGTATTTTATGAGACGACGGTTTGGTGAAAACGGAATCAAATCTACTACATGTTCTCTATGCTCTCCAGTCATTATATAGTTTTTTGTTTTATTATTGTCTTCGCGTACTTGTTAAATTTATGACCTTTTTTCTGCGATTTATTTGGGACCGAATTTGTTTTTTTTTTCTTGGCCAGTGTGTATGGACTAACTCGACTAATGATCGAAAATGACGATGATTATTATACAAGCGTCCAAATCTAAGGGATACAAGAGAGAAAGGTAACAGTGCATATGATGTTTGTTATTTATTTTTTTTTCTCATCAATTCATTTCTTCATTTTCGAGAAGCAGAAGAAAAAAATGAGTCCCATTTATAACGATGGAGAAAGAAAAAAAAATCCTCATTACGATTGAGTCTCCTCCATTGACACTGACCACATATTTGTTTCTTTTTTCTTCTCTCGGTTGCCCCGTGACTTTTTTCCACACAGTTTGTCACACAGTGATCACAGGTGCTTCGGTTAAAATTATATCATGGAATGCAATCTACGTTGGGTGCGTATTAGCTAACACACAGCATATATATATATATATATTTATTAGCTCATTGTGTGTATTGTTTTAATTACGTTTTGTTATTGGCGACTGACCCGTTTTGATGATGGTGATGTGCTTCAACGCACATAATAAATCGGAACATATATTTAGCATGGCTGTAGCATCATTGGCAAGAGGAATCCACCGCGCATAGAAAAGTTAACAACATGCAGCTCAGCCGTGTGATGATTTTCGTGTGGACGCCTTTGCATTTTTGCGTAAATTGTCGATTATAATGTTTTTAGTTGCGGCGTGAATAAGCCAATACATCCAACACCTTGATATGGATTAATCGGAGAGTGTGTATTATACAAACAAAAAAACAATTACCATACCTATTGTTTTGACTCAAAACTCAATTAAAACGAATATTAATCGCATTATGTATGCGGCCTTTGAAATTGAGAGACGAGTGCAATTCAATTCGGTTAATGTGTTACAAATTTGTTGAAGTAAGAAGCAAGTATAGTCTATTTTTAAAGTTATCGAATGTGAAATGAAAATCAATTCAGAGTTAATTTTGTCACCGTAACAACTATATTTCTTTGATTATTTCTATGTAACAAATCTTAAGCTAAATTAAACATCATCTTTCGATCAAATCGAAAATGGGATAATTCAAGCTGATTACAGCTTTTACGATCGTCGTATCAATCGTTTAGTGGGCTGGACCATAGACTGGGGCTGGTGGACCGGCTGGAGCGGCAATTGGCAATGAGGCTTCAGCTGATCCGAATGAGGTTGCGCTTGGTGCACTGACGCCAACTGATTCAAATCCGGAAGAGCCTGCACCGTTTGAAAATGAAGCCGATTCTAATCCTGAGGAGCCGGTTGAGATTGGACCAGCTGAGATTGGACCAGCTGAGATTGGACCGGCTGAGATTGGACCAGCTGAGATTGGACCGGATTGTTGTTGTTGTTGTGTCTTGTATTTGATGAAGTAAACTTCTGGTTTGCTTGGAACAATTGGAGCTTGTTGAACGTGTTGTTGAACGGCTTGTTCTTCTTTCTTTGAAAGAACGTAGACGAGGGTCTGATAGATGCAAAGGAACAAACACAAAATTAAGTAGCAAACATATACATTTTTTGGATATTTTCGATGGGAATGTGACTATTTTTACCTTTTCTTCATTTTGTGGTTGGACAATTGGTTGGAATGATTGACGGTTCACACTTGGAGCCTTGATGAAGATGATTTTGTAGTGCTTTTGTGGTTGTGGTGGTGTAATAATTGGTTGAACTTCGTCTTCTTGAGGTGGAGCCACGTGGACTATATAAAAAACACAAATGTAAATCAATAAAACCATTTTTTAGTACATTAAATTCTATTTAGAGTCTTTACCGTAGATGTGTTTTTGGACAACAGCTTGAGCTTGTGGTTGGGCAAATGATTGGAATGATTGTTGAGGAGCGCCAGCTGAGAATGATGGGCCAGCGGACAATGATCCACCCGATGATCCACCCGACGAGAATGATGGGCCAGCGGACAATGATCCACCCGACGAGAATGATTGGCCAGCGGACAATGATCCACCCGACGAGAATGAAGAGTCACCACCGAATGATGGTCCAGCAGAGAATGATGGAGCAGCACCACCGAATCCACTTGACAACGATGAACCGCCGAATGATCCACCGTTCGAGAAAGATGCACCACCATTGGAGAATGAGGCAGATCCACCACCATTGGAGAATGACGAAGATCCACCGAATGATTGACCGCCACTTGGTTGGTTATAAGAATAACCGGCTTCTGGTCGGGCCACAGCCAAAGCAATGCATGACAAAACAACAAACACTTTCATTTTTTCGGATGATTTTTTTTATAATACACTTTAACAAGTATTTAATGAACAGCACTCAACCAACTCCTTTTAGTCCGATTGATATGGATGCAAATATTGATTTGATTATTTCATCGAAATCGCTGGCTATATATACAAATCAAGTTACCCTCACTCAACCGCCACGGTGACGATTATCAATCGTTGCAGTGACACGATTGTTAGTCACACATAACCCAGTCTTATTGTTATGCTGGCGAAATATCGATAGAAATGTGGGATGGCGAGACACCGATAATATTTTCACTATTCATATCTTTTACATAAAAATTTTTTATCGTTCTTACCATATATGTAAAAAAGTTAATGAACTGGTGTGAAATGAAATGGAATGGATTAGTTTTGTTTGTGTAAATTTCATAAGTTTCTGCATCTACCTGGTCTAAATGAACACTCCGTGAAAGTTCTATGTTGTCACACTGTTCTTTTTTTTGGCATTGTTCAGTTTATGTATTTATTTCAAACGTCTGTCAAATGTATATACACAAAAATCCAAATTGATTGATCAGTTTGTAAACAAATAACAAGCAATCACAGTATATTTCATTGCTCAATCCATTGCTGTATGACAAACTATCAACGATCGTTGCGAACTCGGTCAAAAGAGATGAACAACAAAAAAATGTTGAATATAAACTGAAACAAAATAAAAAAAAAATGGTATATAAATTAGCTGATGAATATCATTTCGAATTTTCGATAGCACACCGTGCAATTTTCATAAATCATTCCGCTTAATTTGATTGCTTCGCGGTTTTTTTAATTATGTCTTTTTTTTAGAGATATACGTTTGTAGGTATGTGACCCCGGTGTATCAATCATATCATTACCCGATGAAATAGCCGGCGTTATATTTGCGGAATGAATTAATGCATTCATCTAGGGGGAAAGAACTGTTGGTATATTTACTTCATTGACACGTATTGACAAATATTCACAGGCATTTGCACTGCGTTCCGTAGTGTTATTGTTGTTGTTTTCTTCTGTTGCTTCGTCTCGTTCGTGGCGAGCAGGAATGACAGTTGCAAATACGCACATTTTATTTACCATATTTGCATGCATTTGCAGCTAGTTATTCAGCGTATTGACACGCATTAACGCGTATTGATCCAAACTCGGTAGAATATGCGATTATTTACAATATTTATATTTTCATTTACTCAGTTCTTTCCCCCTAGGCATTCATATTTGTGCAATCACAAGTTAGTTACCGTCTTTTATTCAATCAATTTTGCGCCACGTGATTTTACCTTGTTGTTGACGATGTTTTTACCAATATTAATGCAGATCGCTTTTTTTTTCTCTCTCATTTCTATCACTCGTGTAATATTTATATACAAAGCATCACATTATTTTTTCCCTTCATTATTACCATTTACAAACATTTTCCGAATACGGCAAAGCCGAAGAAAAAAAACCATCCAAAAATTATACTACCGAATACAATAGGGGAGAGTGAGGAAATTCGGAGCACTTCATAAATGGATAGAAAACTGAAACAATTTCGATGCAAAACGTTTATGGAGAGCTATGAAATGACAGAAGAATTAATTTTAATGAGGAATAAGTTCAAAAATAGCGATTGTTGTTAGTCGGATTTGTAATTGATGCCTGTGAAATAGCATCAAAAAAACTCCCAATATACGAGATAATAGCTACCAATCATTTTAGTGCATTTCAAGTGAACAGTTCGACCGCATGAATTGCATTGAAAAAAAATTCAAAATTTTGTTTGAAATATAATGAGAATGCATAAAAAAGCGATATCAACTTGAAAATAATTAAAAATCACTTGATCAATTTTCCGTATACATTCCGGGCGTTCCGAAATTCCCCACTCGCCAAGGTTTACAACATAACCGTGTTTGAGTCACTCAATGAATTTTTATGCAAAATTCCTTCTGTGAATCGAAATATTAATGGTACACGATAATTATAAACATATTCATCTGGGTTGATTCTTCGAAAAATGTTATGGAATCAATGTAGACAGGCATTCTCAATATTAAATTTTCATAACTTGATTTCATATCGATGTCGCACACAGCCAACAGTACGTACACACTCATCGGGTGATAATGGAAATATGAGGTTTAACTTAGAGAAAACGATTACAGTTGTTCGCATGTCTCAAACTATTCATTTTCGGCGAAATTTGTCGGTGTTTCGAATTTCCCCACCTTCCCCTACAGTTATCAAATACAGGGAAAAAATATTTGTGACCATTTTTAACTCAAAATTCATCAATTCCATCATCTTTGAAAAGTCTAATTAAAATGCCTGGGCGACAATTAAAATTTTGTTTCGATTATTGGAAATATATGCAAATGGTCACATTTATGTAAACCATAGCAAGAAGAAACGAAAAAAAAGATACACCATCGTAACTAAAAGCTTTTTATAAATATTGAAGTCGCTACCGACCGCAAATAGTTATTATGAAATGAAAACCTATTCGGTGTTCGTTTTAATCGATAATTTATTTGAAATAAATGCAGACGTTTCGAGTTATCTGCGACTTTTCTTCAGGGCTGTTCAATCACTAGCGACTCTTTATCGTACGCTCGCCGTCAATTCGTTTACATGCTTTCAATCGAAGGAAACAAATATCAACGAATTAATATTCAATTTTCTCATTATTTCACGGTGAAATAATGTTCAAATGGCTGAAGTCAATGAAACTGATCATTTTTTGACACAGTCGGTAGTGATTGAACAGCCCTGAAGAAGAGTCGCAGATGACTCGAAACGTCGGCATTTATTTTAAATAAATCATTGATTAAAATAAAACGAAGACCAAATTGGCTTTCATTTCATAATTTTTGTAAATATGAATCGACATTTTGGCGAAAACTGATTTGCATGTCATATGCACAGTATTTTTGGGGCGATAATGTGACGAAATGGAATTGATTTCATTGAAATTATGAATGCTCTGTTGAAATTATGAATACGTTATAACTATTGTCATGAACTAAATACTTTTTTACTCGTATATGAATCGATGAGAATCGAAACCAAGACTTTGTTGGCCGGAGCATGAATCCGGAGCTTGAATTTTGTTTACTGAAAAAAGCACTTGAAATCATTGCAAGCAAAAGGGAGACTCTCCTTCATTGGTTTGACTATTGTTGTTGTAATCACAGCTGAAGAAAACAATTGAAATTTGGCCGTATAAAGCGTCGAATTTTCAAACAATTTAAAGTTCCAATTTTTAGCCCATGATTTGCAAATAATTTCGACTAGCATTTCGATCGAATCTGGCATTCGATCTCAACGGTTCATATGATACAAAGATTTAAGACTTCCTTTTGATTAACAATATAAATAATGAATTGTTTGATATTTCAAACAAAATATTTGATGTTGTTTTTTCTCTTCGTGGAAGATGGAGAGTGACCTTTGAAGCAATCTGCATTTACATTGCTTACTTTGCTTGCTTTGAACTACCAGAATCATATCATTACAACTACCTTTTCTCATTATAGTATGTACATTGCCTGGGGATATCAACATGAACGTACAAATAAGCGAGATTTTTTCTGCGAACTTTGGTTGAGAAACAAATCATACAATGTGCAATTTTACCGTTTTTTTTATCTGATCGGAGACTCTCTTCTTACCCATGAACATAAGCAAATACTAATTGATGTAACAGTCTTGCACTCTTTTCCGGCCACATTCTATTATAATATATTCAGCCAGAGCTTGGCGGTGTTAAATAAAAAATAGAAAAAAAAAATAATTGAAGCGGTATCGAATGATTTTATTATTTCTTTGCATCGCTAAAATGGTTATCGCCATTCATGATAATTTCAAAGTTTGAAATTCAAACACGAAAACATATAAAATTACATGAGAACTGTCCTACACGCCATATTCCGATTGGCTATTTTTTTCTGTTAATTAAATACAAAAAAAAAAGAAAACGACAAACAAAATAGTAAGATAAGTGTAAAGGGCAAGGCTGTTTATTTTTAATAAATTCATAAATAAATCGGCTTTTTTGCGACTAGACTTTTATTCGCTTCGATATCAAATATATATTACAAATTTATGGTTTTTGTTTGAATTCCGTTTCAATAAATAGGTAAAAGGTCTATTCAAATGAGGTATGTAATGGGTTTTTGCAGATGATATGATTGGTTTAATGTTTTGGTGGACCGTATTCGGGTGCTGGTGTCCGTGGCTGAATGACGGCAGCAATGTTGACAGCATCTGTACCGCTCAAACTATTTCAATAAAAATTCAAAGCATCAACAACCAAATATGGAATTACCCAAATCTTGTTACAAAACATTTAACGCATAAAGTTACATAGGTTGCGTTAGAAAATTTACCTTGATGAAGTGTCATGTGTCGCTGCTTGAGACGAAGTAACAACGGCAGCAGCGGCTGATGATGAACCCAAATCGGCTGAACCAAAGTCAGCGGCACCACCACCACCACCACCAACAGCACTTGGTGCACTCAATCCAATTGGTTGTGGTGCTGAAAAACCACCGTTGGCTGTTTGGGCCTTGTATTTGATGAAGTAAACTTCTGGTTTGCTTGGTTGGGAAAGTGGAGCACGTGGGATTTGCAACTCTTCAATCGATTCTGGTTTCTTGACCAATACATAAACCTATCGGACACAAGTGAGATTCAAAAAATTAATTTTTTCTTCAGAAATAATTCCCTTGGTGCTCTGAATAAAATATACATAGTTGAACGTACCAAAGTTTTCTCTTCGGATTGTTGCTGTTGAGCTTGAGCCAATTGTTGTGAAATTGATGGACCCGATGGCGCTTTAATGAAGATGATTTTGTAGTGCTTTTGGGCTTGTTGAACTGGAGCGATTGGTAGAGAGAGCTCTTGTTCATCATGTTCTGGTGGTGGTACGTGAACTATATGGAAACACAAATGTTATTATCAATGAAACGTTTTTCTAGTATTGAACTATATTTAGAGTCTTTACCATAGATGTGCTTTTGAACGACAGTATTTGTGGCGGCTGGTACAAAGGCTGGTGGAGCTGGTGCTGGTACTGGTGCTACATTTTAAATGTACAAGCAAGTTTTCATTTTAGACAAATCATTCTTTAATTTTATATGCAATTTTCAGTTTTAATCCCTCTTGAGTCATGCATTGTTTCAAAATATGGAATTCTCTTCTTCTTCTTCTTATTTATTTAAAAAATAAACTTTGACGTTTTCTTGATTCTCTCGTTGTAAACGAAATGGCACGATTTTCGGATTCAACACATTTGAAACTGAATCAAGTCTCAAGAATAAGAATGGGAAAAATGGTTCAATTTTGTTGATTTACCTTGCAATCCGAGTGATAGACCGTCGCCAGCGCCGAAGGAGCTGCCAGATGAACTGAACGAACCTAATGAGTTGCCAGATGAACCGAATGAGTTACCTCCAAAAGAGTTTCCACCAAACGAATTGCCGCCGAAGCTATGACCAGATGAACCATGTCCCACTGAGTATGATGATCCCAATGACAATGATCCACCTGAGCTATGTGATCCTAATCCCAATGATCCATGCGAGCTGATTGGAGAGTATGAGTGACTGTTGCTATACTGTGTGGTATGCGAGCCATGCGATAGTGCCTGTTTAAAAATGGTAAACATTGTAATTCACATTTTAAAAATAAAACTCTTTTAATCCAGATAAATTTGAGTTAATTTGAACGAGAAGAAAAATTTCTAATTGTTTCCGTGTACAAAAGTGTTCAATACAGTTGAAATTGCAAAATATATGACACCCATAGAATGAAAAATGAACTTCTGAACTCTTTGCCGATAAATAAAACGAAAAAAAAACTTAGAGCAAAAAAGAAACAAATGAAGTTGCGAGCAAAAGTGACACAAGTGGGCATTAAGCGGAAAACACGTTTTTCTCATTTTTCTCGCTACTGGAAAAAGACAGCGACTAGGTGTCTTCGGCTTATTTGTAGTAATTTCCATTTTCTACAATATTGCCGAAGACACCTAGTCGCTATCTTTTTCCAGTAGCGAGAAAAAT